ATTCTGAAATTTAAGCTGTTTTAAGCAGCTTTTTCTACTCAACCGGCTTGCAGTCGCTTACACGTTTGACATCTAAGTGCTTATCAGCGCCTAATTATGTTTAAGCGCACTCAAGCAGCTTGAAAATAGCTTACAATGAGAAATTTTTTCACATGGGTTACATGATGATAAGAGAATACGAAATAAAATCATTGATCTTACTTCGATAACAGGCGACACGTGCCTATAATTCAGTCTATATAGAGCGTATGTATACTGAAAAATGTTTTAATTGTGCCTACAATACTCAGCATAGTCGGTAACATAAAAGAACTATCGTTCTCTTGACAAGAAATAGGTGCTATCAATCGTCCACCGTGGGAACTACTCCTAGAGTGGTAGTGTAGGCCATTTTTCACCCCAAGCAACAAATTTTTTTTCGACGTTTTCGTTACCTGCCATGCGGTGCACTATAGAAAATAATCGTTGCTTTACTCTGAAAATGATCTATTTTTTTGTCTGTACTTGGCACATGAAACTGTATCAGTGAATGAAATAGGATGTCTAAATAGGTGATTTTGTCCAGGTTTCTTCGTTTTATGTTTCTGTATATTGCTTTAAAAATTTCATTGATATGTTTATTGTCCCAAGTTCTCGGATGCAATTTCTAACGATGCTTTCATGCAAGTGGATGAGTGCTCAAAAGTATGATTGGCCTAACTTTTTATTAACTTAACCAAATGCACTAAAAATGTGGACATAGATGTTTCAATGCGTCGCTGATTCAGATCCGCATGTCAAATCGAACATTTACGTTTATGCCTTTCCATTATTTACATAATACATTGTGTGTTACCCATGTGAACATTTTTAGAAAGTAAATTTTAAGAAAGAATTTTTAGAATTGCTTTTTCGTAAGCTAGCTTAAAGCAGCTTAAAAAGCAAGATTTTAAGCTTTATAAGCGCTTTAAAGTGCACATTTTCAAGCACTTATAAGCGCTCAGAACGTACATAAGCGCTGATCAGCGCTTAAAAAATAGATGAAAGCACTGTCAAGCGACTGGAGAAAGCTGAAAATGTCAAACTTTAAGCGCTTGTAAGCTGCTTTCCGCCGCTGAAGTTCTAAGCAGCTTACAAGCGCGTAAAGTTTGACATTTTCAGCTTTTTCAAGTAGTTTGAAAGTGTTTTCATCTATTTTTTAAACTGTGACCAGCACTTATAAATGCTTGAAATGTGCACTTTAGAGCGCTTTACTCTTGTACTACCAAGCCTATATTAAGCACTATCAAAACGATCATTTTTTGCTTTTGAGCGAAAAGATCTAAAGAATTTAAATTCTTCACTTAAGAATCATCGATGTATGGTTAAATCATATGTTTTCAAAAGCGGACACTTGGAGTTAGTGAAAACTGTCTTTTTCTGTGCGGCTTTAATGTATTTTCATATTACTTCGGTTGATAAATAGTTTCTCCCAGATACACGGCCGCTCTTGCTGCAGTCGCATTAGTACAACAGCAACAGTTAGTTTTTTCCAAAAAGATTGCTTACTGTAAGGGGGTGGAGGAGGTACGTTGATTACGGACACTTGCGTCGAAGCATCACTCGCCATCTCGGTTGTTGAGTGTTCTTCACAAAAAGTGTTCTGACTTTAGAAATATGTCTATCTTTTTCTATTTACTTTTCAACAAGCTAGTGCAGTTTCACCCATAATCAATATTCGGCTCTGATGTTTTATTACGGATAAATAAAACAATTTTATGTTGGAAAAAACCGAGTTTGGATAGTTTCATTATGTGTAGAAGGATGTGTGTGGCTATGAATAGGCAGATACATTTTATTCTTACCTTTAGTCATCAAAAATACCCAAGGGAATTGAAGCATGACAACGTTTATTGACAAAGCATAGAAGAAAAAGTATCCAGACAGTCGCCGTATAGTTCTTGGGTATACATAAAAATGTTTCTTTCTTGACTTCCTTTTAAAGAAAACAATACAGTTAACTCACATAAAACCATTACTGTAAGAAGATCGATATTTCTAGACGGTATTTAGACAACTCTTGTCCGTTGATGCAGTTATCGTCTGAATCATAACACGCAAGCATTTCTCTTTTTCTCACTGGATAATGATAATCCGTACGAGACTGCCACCGAGCAGCATCCTGTACCCAAGATAGCAGAAAGGCGTAGTATTCTTCCTTCCAACTCATTAAAATTATTCATCGTATTGCTGAGTCTTTTAATTCTATTAAATTTCTAAGCCGTGAATTATCATGTTAAGCGCTTGATTTAGTCTATAATACATCTATTTTGAGCTGTATTACTCGTGCTAGTGTACTTGTGGAACAACCGATACACATCTTCGTAGATGAAATTCTTTTTAATATAACCTAGTGCGTGAAAGGCTTTGCACAAAATGTTTGTTCACTTTTCTTTCTCTAAGAAGTCATTAATAAGAATGATAAGTAATCAGTTAAAATCAGAACATCATGTTGTTAGTTAGTGTGTTGTAAATAGTATTGGATTTCATAACAGTTTTTAAAAAAAATAAATACATGTAAACAGACAATAAATTTGGACAATTTTTTAATTACGCATTCTTCTGCATGAAATAATGTTTTATTATTTTCAAAAGAAATTATGAAATCTAAAAATAATAGACTGCTATCCCACGTCATCAAAACTGGTTAAATACCGCCGGATTACCGCTCCAGTACTAGTCTGTTACATTCCCCGGTATATTGCTAGCAGAACTGAAATGAGCGACCGGTTACCGCGGTAACCGATCGGTAATTTATTGAACTGCGGTAATGGCCATTTACCGAACGCGGTAATACCGCAGGTTATTACTCTTTTTTCTAGCCTGCTACGACCACAACCTAGGTTCAACTCACTCCCAGCGCACAACTGTTTTTTTCTTTTTTTGACCTTGTCTTGGTCTGTTCTTTTATTATGTGGACATTTCTATCAAAACAAGACATAGAGAAGTTTATAAAAAAACGTGAGTTCTCAAACCTCAAACATGTCCATTTTTCTTACTTGTTCTTCTTACACGAAAACGACTGAACTCACACTTTAACAAATGAAAATGCTGTTCTAGTCATTAAGTGTTCTGTTCTTATTTGCCTCCCGCTCCTTCTTGTTGATCAGTTGTGTTTGAGCCATCTTGTGTTGATTCATTCGTTGTTGTTGTTTGCTGCTGCACAGTTTTTGATGAACAGTATAACGATTCGATATTTAAGCCAGCACGATTAAATCTCGAACGTAACACTTTTCGACGAAGTGGTGATGGCGTTGAAGGTTGAATTTCAGTACCTCTTCTTAAATTACGACGTTTTTGTGTGAACACATCATGCAGACTGGGCCAAATTTGATTCATTTTTTTCTTATCTAACTCGAATTTTGTTCGTACAGCTTATAAACAGAAAAAGGGTAAATACTCCCATATTATTTGCAGTAGGATTGACGCTTCTTGAGGGACTTCGATTTTTCTACAGCAGCAACGAAGAATTTTCTAAAGTATACAAACTTTTAGTTGAGCGACCGCAAAAGAGCCAGAAGAAGGAGTGAGAAACTTTGACTTACCTTTCTTTTACCATCAAGTAACCTTCATTTTCTGAATTTGATGTGTTTCTATGTTAATAATTTCCTCGACACTTTGGAAGACAATATCCATCAATCATGTCACGTACCAATTCATAAAATTTGGATCAGTCGTGATAGATAACAAATTTATTTGTTCACCTCTACGTTCACATATCTACAAAAGTAATTTTCAGAAATAAAGAACTGTAGAGGTGAACTAAAGCAGAAGGAACTTACCCCAGCTGTCTCAAACTGTTTCTCTATTTCTGCCGTCGCTCCTCCTTGTTGTTCTTCTTCTGGCATTTGTAATGGGCTATGAACGTAAACAAAACCATCGGATTAGAGAAAACCTAAGCAAGATAAAAAACATACATGACGATGACCAAAGGCTTTCTGCACCTTAACTTAGTTCTTAAACAACAACTGAAACATTTGATCGTGTTTCTTGAGCGACGCTACAATTTGTTTCTGTGTTTTTTGAATATCGTTGCTAAATTGTGTGGCTGCGGAATGTACTACCGATTGCACAATTTTCTTGATCATTTCTTCGTTGACGACTTCTGATCAGACAACAGCTTTCTTAGCTAAACGATTAACTGCTGGAGACGTTGTTGTAATGTGGGGCTGATTACGGTTATTGTTCGACATTAGTTTGAGTTTCTTGGCAGAATGTGCCATTTTCAATTTTTGTTTCTTTGTTTTCGGTAAATCATCAAACGAAAATTTTGCTTAAAAAAGTGCATAATTTATTTTTGGGTGGCAGTAAAACTCCGATATGTCAATTTTGCCACGTACACGAGAATTATACTGTTTTGTATGAGAATTATGCACAATCTAGAACATACTATGATATTATAGAAACATTTGTATCTACGTCATGGGATAATGTATTGAGATGAGAATTCTGCATGGTGTAACAAGTATTATGCTGTCCCCACGAGATTTTAGAGTTCCTTGTAGCAATTTCCTTGTTCAATACACCCATCTTATTTTCAGAAATGGATAATAGCGACTAGATATCGTATCCGATATGTCGGGCTGACAAAAAACAATATATATGTATAATATATTTACAGAAAGCAATATTTACCAATATATTGATCTATTATTGCTCAATATATTGACTTGATATGGATAAATACTTTGTAAATTTGTGAAGTATATGTTTTACATATGTAGTACACTGATTGCAAAACAAAAAGCTGAGTAATCCGACCATCGACATATC